CGGAAAAAAAAAACGAACTCGAGGGCAATTAAACGCGCCATTTAGCCACGCGGAAGGGTTGAAAACAAGATGGGATTTTTATTGGGCCGCTATCGCGCTTAACGGCTGTAAAACGATGTTCCTCCGTCTGCCATTCCCTCCCGTTGATCGCGGAGAACACCGTCCGGAACGACGTTTGGCCCATTATGGCCCCGTCTCTGTCACGGTAGTCAAAAGTCGTAAAAAAGCAGAGAAAGGAGGGAAAGCTCGGTGGAAGTCGGCCCGTTATTGGGTCACCGTCTTGTTTTCGCGTTTTACAAGGGTCCCGCGACTTTCGAGCCTCTACGTTTCCGCACCCCACAATGGCCTCTCGGTTACAGTTTCTTCGTCCCTGAGGGACAATCACGGAGGCCACGGATGCCTCCCTTCTGGCGTCTCAAAGACTGTTCGGTCCTTGTTATAGTGTTAAGGTGCCTGAAAGAGAGTTCTTGTCGACTGGTAAACTTTGATCGCGAGTACGGCCAGAAAAATGGAGCAGTCTTAGAAAAACAGCTTATGAATTAATTTACTCTGTGTGGAGGGATGATGTTTGGTAAAATTTATGTGTCGATACGTTATGAAACATCAATTTGTCGAATTTTGTACTAAACACTACGCAATCGTGTAAAATACTCCAATGTTTCATCGGTTTGCAGTTAGCTTCTTCAGGAATCAAATAACACATCGATATTGAGACAATATGGGTGTATCACTCGACCCATCGAAAAGCTAGCCGTAATAGCGGCGATATGTTTGAGTAGTTTACTCCAAGGACAATGGCTTACATCCAGAGATCTTTTCTGGATTCTACCAGCAACTCGAGATGCTTTCTCAGCATTTTATTGCTACGATTGCTAAGCTTAGATTGACTTTGAAGATGTAGCACGATTTGTGATCGCAAACTAATTCGAGAATCAGGTCACCTTTACTTCATCGACGTCGTTTTATTTATGAAACTTCGAGTTCTAAGAAATGAAACCTAAACAAACGTTATTGCTGGTTGATTTACTGCGTGAAATCTGGCGGTGACCGAAAGTCTCTTCTCGGGTGCAAAGGATTAATTAGTATCAAGACTATGAAGTACTATGGACTACTTGTCTGTTTCTTAAGCATCGAGAGAGACAGAATTTATTCGCGTCATTCAAGCCAACTGGATATTCCTTACGAGTCATGAGTACGTAGTACAAGTTAGAATATCGTAGTAGCAACGAGTATTGCTTAGAAAAAGAATCTTGGGTAGTTGAGTCGTCGGTCGCTCAACTAATCGGGGATTTATTATTCAGCGAGTTGCAATAATTCGTACAGACACGATAAATTACGTAACGCGAACCAATGAAGGGTACGACGCAAAAATATTCAGTTTTATGTGTGTCAAGGTGTTCGCTAAACATCATCCAAGGTTCGATTTGGACTCGGCTACATGTTTAATTCATTTAGTTGTTTGCTAACTTTTCAACTTGCGAATAAAAGCGATTCGACAATTCTCTCTAGAAAGACGTACTATAGACCTTTGTTTGAAGTTTTCCGTCTCTTAAGTTCTTAATTTTTATTTTTCAAACCAAACGTCTTACGATTGATAGATTGAAGGGATTGATAATAAATCGAGAACGTCTATAATTAAATTTAACCTTTTGTGAATGAAAAAAATGATTGTTTCCTGTTTCAAAGGACCGACTCGATGCAACTATAAACAAATTTTATCATTTAAAACCATTCTTCGCAAAAGATTCACGGTTGGATACACGTAACGTTCCGCTGTTCATGCTAATCGAGTATGAAACAATCCTCCACTCTGACCCCGATCTCTTTCGAAAGGCGTCCGCCTGGATCACGACATCCCCCTGGGAAACGAAATTACGAAGCTTGTCTTCTTGTTCGAGGAGGCCACTTCAGCCACTGCCTCTTCCGCGCAACTTTAAAGGGCTGTAACCCAGAAGTGAAGCCTTTGGGGACCCGTGTTCCTATCATATCTTTTTCTCGATGCAATTGATACGATGGGGTTGCAAAGTTTGGTCCAAATGTTTCAATAACACGCAGTATATCTCGTAGAAAATAAATCTTTCAAGATAGGAGACAAAGACGCTACATTTTTAAAACGTTGACCATTTGTTTTCGCAGTATTTCAATTGTTTTTATATACCTATCAACCCATTTACTGCCGGGCAAATTTAAAGCGTTTTGCTTTGGGCAAAACTAGGTTATTATTTTAATAATAAAAAGTGATATTAAATTTGTTGTTTCAAAAACGAAATTTACGATCTTCTTTCGCATCAATTCGTGACTGAAAAGACTATAGACACTTATCCCTCGAGTAATTCCAATCGATTCGAACTACAAGACAGTAGTTCGAATTGATGGTTGAAGCATAGTAACCACGTCGCTCTGCATCAGCTGCATCAGTAAACAAGACATTGCGATTTAACGCATCGTCGGGCGCGGTAGTATAAACAGGAAGGGGTTGAATCAATCGGCAAGGTACCACGGGACGGTGTCAGAGTCGATTTATCAACTGATTTATGATCAACGCTTCTGCCGTTCGGGGAAAAACGCATTTGCATTCTCGCGCCATCCCTCCCTCCCTCCGCCCACGCGGTGGCGCGAAATCGCAATGATTGAAATTTCGATACGGCGGCGCGGTCGATGCGTCGCGACGAGGGGACCGATTCCCTGGTTAACAAAAGGTTAATGACCGTGACTGGCCGCGTGGAGGGAGAACGGGTTTTGAATAATGCGGATTACGGCTCCCATTGGTCAGCGTTTAATGTTTAAATGTAAAACCGGAATCGAGGGGCCGTCCGCGGGGCGTGGTTAATGTTACGTCGACATTCACCCAGATACATTCGCTGGCTTGTCAGCAAACATAGGCATGATAGCGTTTGAATAATGTATGCTCCGGCGAAGCGGTGGCCGCTTTTGCCGCGCGTTTACTCTCCGTTGGTACCGACGCGGCGGGCGTCGCCACGCCTCTCGTCCCTGCCACTCGTTCCGCGTCAAATCGCGCGCGTTTCGATACCTGTGCTCGCCTCGATTCTTTTTATACCTTTCGAAACACCCGGTATTTAACCCTTTCGTCGCCCCTTTTTCTTTACTTCGACTGCATTTCATTTTCAACACTTTATTTATCCGAAGCTCATTCACAGACTTCGTTACAGTGTTTACCTTTTGGAATTTGTTCACCGTGTTGTCGGTCGTATGGAATATTTAATTTTGGGAGAGAGAGTAGACTTTGGTCGGAGCTAGTAACAATACGTAGGAATTAATTTTATTTATTAACCCTTTGATTAACCCTTTGCAACTCGAATGTTTACTGGAAGAGGTGTACGACGAGGTTTAGCAAGCGAAGAATAACTCATTTTATACGTATCAATTTAGTACATCCAACAATAGAGCATAGAAGGAATACTAAGCTACAAAATTTATAAATTTAGAGTCAGCTGTACGTGTTTTTGTTTCAGTGACGCGTAACATAGGTTAAATGTTATTTGTTCTTTTTATGATTTGTAAACGATGTGACGCAAGACAAAGTTCTTCCTTATGTACAAATTACAAGGAATAAATTATCTATCTATCTATCTATCTAAGAATCTCCATCTTAACTGTGCACATTTGAAGTTCAATAATTCCTTTCCGATTCTACATACTTGAAATTTGGTGCCACTGTTCTAATTTAATTACACGTTCTATACCAACACGTATATCCGAGATTTTAATTGCATCTGACAACATGCTTTGACTCCCAAATCTATTAAAAATTTATCGTACTGTACCAAACAATATCATCTTAACACTAAACCTACCAGAATTAGTCAAACGACCGTTTTCAAATTGCTCTGTACAGTTCTTATATGCTACATATATCTACCTAGTACATTTAACGAATGCATTCTACGGTTCCGAAGATGTCCCCAGAACAAGAAATTGAAACCTAAAGCAAATTATACATTGAGTCTCTAAACGTACCGTCCTTTTATAATGTAACAATCGGTTTGAATTCGAGTCGAGGGAGTCTACATTATTCATAATCGATTAACCTACATGGACTCCAAGGAACGAAAAGGAACAGTCACCCCAGGGTGCTACGTACTCTGGGTCAATAGCTGTAACACGATTCCGGCGAAGCGGTTAATTCGTTGCTAGCATATCGAATGTACGAGTCCTTCCAGAAGGATTACGCGAAACGAATATCTTAAGGAACCAACAAATATAACTGAATTTCGGACAGGAGCAGGAAAAGCGTGTTCCTATTCTGGCCGCGTGAACGGTAACATGTTTCAATTTGTCGTAAACGTGTAAAACCGTCGACATTCGACCAAACGTCGAATTCCAAGGAGTCTAACGTAGGATTGTCGTGGCTACTCGAAAGTCATCGGTGACCTACTACGATGTCCCACAAAAAATGTTACTCTTTGAATGTCCTTTACAATTGCTATATATAAGTTTAAAAACATGGATGTTTGAAAAATTTGCACTAGCATTTTATTCTACGTAACCGCTAATAAAATTTGCTAGACTTACGATGTCTAGCTGTGTACTCAGTTTTCTATACTTTATATATTCGTGTATTTGTGTAAATATTTGTATATTTTAGTACCTATACTTGTCGTAATAAATGCATGAATATACCAAGTCTAGTTATCAGGATGTAGACACTGACGACGCATCGTGATTGAATATAAAAAGCCAGTATAGGAATCATGATTTTATTTCAACTTTCACAAATCTTCAGATTAAAGATAAATGTTATTCCACGCCATTTTTCATGGAATGAAAAAACATTTTCCGTTACTTTGACACGTCATCTTAGGGATGAATCGCCGAGTACGAATCGTCCATGACGAAAATTAAAGATCGCTCCCCTTTCCGTTCGACCCGGTAGGAAAAGCGTTCTGACATGATCGAGCCAGCAACCAAAAAATTAGATTTATCCGAATCACGAGACGTCTGCACGCGTCTAACCTTGTCTGTCCCGTTCTCTGTTACAGCATCCTCGAGCTGCGCAAGGAGAAGAGCAGAGACGCCGCCAGGTCTCGAAGGGGGAAGGAGAACTTCGAGTTCTACGAGTTAGCGAAAATGCTGCCATTACCGGCGGCTATTACCTCCCAGTTGGACAAAGCCTCCATAATAAGGCTAACCATCTCGTACCTCAAACTTCGGGAATTCTCGGGTCACGGAGACCCGCCATGGAATCGGGACGGGTCGCCGCCGAATAAATCTGTCAAAAGTAAGGAATTCGTCGATCGAGACGTTTGCTATCGTTGTCACGTTGTTACGAGAGCTATTTAAGAAGCCTCGGAGTTATTTTTACTCATATTTTTCGATAATATTTCCCTTAACGCGTTAACTGGCAGACTGATTTGTTTCAAAATATAGTCCTATTCGGAAATTAATTCGCAGTCAATAGAATGCAAATCCTGAATTTTCCTTATGCAGAATGTATCTGAAAGACTAGGAAAATATTTTCTTCGTTACGTATACTCTTAAAATGGCTCTGCGTGTGATTTACTAAAGAACAATTTTAAAAATCCTCTCCTTCTGCGGTAAAGGTTTAAAAATGCCGAAAATTCTCGAAATTATAATAATTTCAAACAATACTTTACACGCGTTTCGATGAAATATTCCGATCAGTTCAACGGACCAGAAGAAAACGTAGTCCCCGCTAAAAAACTATTTTCTGAGCTCCCGCCGCATTCTTGCGTCCGCAAATCCCTCTTCCGACGTCGCCCTGACGCGGAAACAACACAGATGATTGCACCCCTTCTTATTAGAAAGTGTATCTGCTGGTGATATCTCCTGATGGATCAGTATTTAACCTCACTGGGGGAGCCGATTCGTGTTGAAGATCGACTACCGTGTTACTCGCGCAATGGAACGTGTCCTCGGGGTGAAAGCAACGTAGAAAGTCAAGTTTATTGCAAAACAAATCCGTCCTTAAGACGACTGTGCGAATAGTTCTGTCCGTACCGCTTGTGCATAGAATAGGTTTTATGGATTCGATAATATATGTACAATCTAATTTTGTATACTTTGTCTAAGTATCACGCTACCGACACAAGGTATACATTACTATGTAGCTACAAAAAAAAAGAAAATAATGTTTAACTAGTCTCCATCAAGAAAACAACAAGCGCAGCTGCAGAAAAGATATACTTTTAAAAACATATTTGTATGTAATATATTCTCGCACATGGAACTATATCTTTGATCGTGAATCTTTGTGCTGTAAGTCTCTACATAGAAACAAAAAGTCCTTTCTTTAAATCTAAAGATTTTGAACTTAAACTCATAAATTCCTGATGGGAATTGAAGACATTGGAAAATTTTTAAAGAGCCCTCTCTAAACCTTAAAAATACCTTCGATTTTGTACTGACCCGATAAATTGCGAAACGGTGGAGAAACGAAACGCTTGAATCAGCCCTATCGCCACTTCATCGAGACACGGGGGTGAGACAAGAGGGAGTGGTCTCTGAATTTCGATGGAAATTCACGGTACACCGGTATCGAATTAACTGGACAAAGGTTGTCCACTGACGTTCTCAAGAATTCGCGTAAGCAAGCCAGCGATAGATGAAGATTCGCGATACCCTTTATAACTCGAGTGACCGCGCGCACCCAGCAAGAGATTCCCAGATACATAGTAATAGAGAATTGTCCGCTATAATCGAGCGATAGCATCGCCATTGGCTTTCTTCATTTTCGTGGTTCATTTAACGAAAATGGGTGGCTACGTTTCCACGGGACGAGGATCATCTTCTTCCTCTCGACCAGGGGACATTGAAATGCTAACAGGTTCGTTCATTTTCACCGTAGCTTCGAAATTGCCATACGCGATAACAATGTGATCGGATATCGACGACGAAAGTTGATCATGGTAATGGTTCGAAGAAAGTATTGGCGTAGTTCTATCTTTACTTTTGCAATGAATTCATTTTTAGTGGCTTGGGAGTTAGATGCTTTAGAGAGGGCTGGAAAATGTTTCGGAGTGATACGGTTACTCCGAAAGCTATTGAAAGAGTATGTTAGAGTATGTCGTATTAGATGTTTGTTATGGAATGTCTGTGACCCTTGATTTTATCTTCGAAAATTGGAACGGAATTATAAAAATAGCGACTATGTTTTGTATTTCTTGTCTACTACAGCTACAGTTCCTAGGATAACCATCTCCGAGGAAATTTCGATACCTCCGCTTTTAAAGTTCAAGTCAATGCGAAATTGACGGTATTTCTTAAAAAATGGCTTTTTCATCAACCGCATGCAGAGTCATCTTCAGTAATCAATATATATATATATATATAACAAAAAGAATACTTTCGTGGTCTTTAAGATACACATAAACGTTGCGCAAAGGGAAAAATCTGGCCTTACCATCAATTGGTTGGAATTCATTCTGAAATAAAACTTTATCTTAGAAAAATGTGAATGCCTAATCCTCTTCACATATAGATAGGTATACTTGTCACTTCTAAAGTTACGCACTACTATATTGCGGTCAACGATAAACTCGAAAGGCGCCCCCTTAAGGTACGCCTCCCTCCGTCTTGCTCGTTTCTGTTCTCGTCAAAAAAAATCGACGAGGGTAGAGACAAAAAAAAAAAAGTAAAATAAAACGTCAGTTCGCATGGAGGACCCGGGCCCATCGGGAGGAAAATAAATCAACCGACGTGTCTGGAAATCTTTAACGCATTTTACTTCGTTAAGTCGAGAGGTCTCTCGTTCCGGTTGTGGTACTGACATGCGGCGAGGGTGAACCCAGGGCACTGGATTTAGTTTGACGAGGAGCTGCGGCAGCGATGTGCGGACGGTGCCTAACTCGATTTCGTTAGTTTAGTTACATTGGCGGTTGGTAACGCGAGGCCCTGCGCGCAGGGGTTGTCGTGATTAGATTTCCATGTAGGTAGCGACGCTGCAGCCACCTAAGCCTTTATGTGTGCCGCTTTGTATGTACGCATCGAAACCCTCCCCCCTTCAAAGCCCTCCCTCGCTTTTCACCCTCCCACGACAAATATTAACTCAACCAGCCAACCCCTCCCCAATAGCGCCGATGAATAAGTGAATTCTCTCAACCACCGTCTTACTTTTCGCTCCTCGCGAATGCACGTTGCTGCTGAATGTCGAAGAATCGATTAGAGATCGTTTTCCAATTCGTTTGATTATTATCGCATAGAAAATCTTGTATTTTCGATCTATGATCAAAGATGAAACGTTATTGTGTCAGAAACAAGCTTTATCTCTCGTATGCATAGTACAGGGTGTAACGGGCTGCCTAATTACTTTGGTCGTGGGTAGGGACCATCAAAGTAATAAAAATAGTTCGTTAAACGAATGCCTCATTTAAGTTTCGAGCTGCAGTAATTGTGGATGATGAATTGGTGTAGTCCAACTGTTTCTGCTAAAGCGTTTGTACACAATCGATACAATATACTTGATACAAAGACCATATTCTGAAAAATCAATATTCGTGGCAAATCTGAAAGTATTTAGTTTACGGTTAATATAGAAATGCACAGAATTAATTTCTACACGGAATACGTATAAATATAACCGACACGAGGTTGATAAACATTGATGCAACTTTCCACGTTCATTTAATAAGATATATTACACGTTCGGCAACTGGTCATCGTTTCGGTTTAAGAATATGGCAGACACGAGAATATTCTCTGATTGTAGGGAACTGTTGCTCGACTCGAAGAACAGAAAAAGTTTCCATGCGAATTTCCATTATCCTACATCGCAGTATTAACACACTGCTATATTCCACGGCATCTCGTGCGCCAAGTACGACGCAAACGATTACACAGAAATAAGAGAGGATCTTTACATGGTAATTTCACTTACGAACTCGCTTGGGGCGGCCAGTCGTTTCTACTAAAGTCGCATGGAAATTGGCAAACCGAAACTGCCGGAGTGGCTTGCAAACAGGGCGTCTTTAGGGGCACTAGATCGCACAGAATGGCTCGCGTAATTTTAAATTGATTTTTCTGTATCTCGTATCGCAATTCGCTCCTGTATTTCACCCGAATAAAGCGAGAAAAGACAACGCTAAGACATGAAATTTCATTGAGAATTGAATTTTTAAACGTACTACGCCTGGCCTTAGAAAGAAGCAAATTCATATTTTCTCAGATACAGGAACTGTTGGTACTGATATTTTATATTTTTCCATTTGCTATAAATGCATAAAAATCTGCGGTAAAATCTTTATTCGTGTATTTATTATTTCTTCTTGAGAGCATCATTGATAATTGATCAAGAGAAGTAAAATTATTCCACGCAATGATGCTTCAATGATCGGAAAACACACTTTTTATAAATATATAATTTATGGATACAACGACAGGTATTCGATGAAAGAAAACAACGTAGAGAATCTACTTTTATGATGAAAACAAAAATCCACAATCGTTCTCGAAAAGAGAAACAGCAACGCTCTGCCTCGCCGAGAAGACGCATTAGCACGTTCGATCTTCGCTAAATTGATTTCAGGAAGAGCGTAGGTATTTTTCCATCTTCCCCAAGGAAATATCCGTGAGCTACGGACCTCGACAATAGAGTAAAACATCCCCTTGGATATTTATCAAAACATTGTGATGGCCGACGTGAAAGCGTCGACAGTTTCGTCTGAGCAGAAACTAATTCTCACGACTAATACTGAGCGTTCATTTGAACACAAAACATTTTATATTAAGTTTTTTCGAATATCGTTTGTGGAAAGTAAAACTCTGCTGGGAGTAAGTTTTTTGACGGTTATTATAAATTAGGGATTTAGAAGCGACTTAGAAGCGACAGTCTTTGTTCTGGGACAACCTAATATTTTAATATTAATGTGACAATAACGTCGATGAACCCTCTTTATTTCACACTTAAATCGCTAGTATAACTACTCTAAAAAAGAATCATTAGAAAACGTAGGTTAAAGCATTTAAATGTAAATCTAGTAAGAAAGTCAACTCTTAAAATTGACGATAAAGAATTTCATCACGGGTCAAAAATGACCCAGATGTCTCACGCCTATCAGATGACTTTTTACTCGATCCCACTGCCTAATACAACACCGCCAATGTATCTAAACGATAACATTTCAATAGCATCGTTATCGTTGCTTTTTAAAGCTTCCCTGCTGCACGTCTTTCAAATAGCGGCGAGGAAGAACTCGCAGTGAGTTTTCACGCCACAGAGTCGATCGAGCAATCCCAATAGCTCTCGCGATCGCGGCAAAGCAAAGAGTTCCTTGTTTCTTAGCAAACGGAGGAGGGGAGGAGTCGATCGGTAAAAGTTTAATCGGTATTCACGAATCGTGCTCGACGAAACGAAGAGGCGCGTCGCTCGAAGGAGGAAACGCGGCTAGACAGGCGAAAGTCCGACACGGATTATTCGGGGATCCGGGTCCGGCATGGCCGAAATATCAGAATTAACTTGTTGACCGAATAGCGAAAAGGTAGGGTGATCAATCCGACGAGTTATCCCCGACACTTCGGCTCGTTTCTCCGTGGGGTTTACTGGATTAAGCGGTTCGCGTCGAGTTTGATCGAGTCTTCTAAGTCTTTCATTACCGAGACCCTGGAAGGGTGGGTTTATTATTACGGTAAGAAGGAGGCCGTCTTGTTTGTTAAACGAGGGGAAAAAGAAGACGCAAAGGGGTCACCGGGGGCACTGTTAGGAGGCTATCTCCCGGGGTGAACACGCTGTGAGTCACGTTGCTTTGGAATAAACCGAAGGTAACCCTCAATCGTTGGACGTCAATCAAGTATATCCACGCCGGCTATATTAACTCTTTGCTGACCTGTTGGCGAGGATTTTCTTGCAAGGGGTGCTTTGAGAATAGTATGGACTAGTGAAATAGTATTGGCTACTTGGTAGTTCGGAATAGAAGCTACTTCATCCGAATGAAGTAGAGGTAGGGTCGTCAACTGATGCTACTTAGGGTGTCTTTATTAACTCTCTGCTGACCTATTGACGAGAATTTTCTTGCAAGGGGTGGTTCAGTAACTGTTTAGTGTCTTTAGTAAGTTTTTGCCAGGTGAGATTTTCTTTCGAGGGAATGTTTAAGAACTGAAATAACAGCATTAAGAACAGCATTGTTTACTTAATAAAATGTAAGATGCGGGAAAGGAAGGGATTTTTATGCGAAACATGAAAAGGAAGTCAATGTACCTATATCGAAATTCAATCAAAAGAATCTTTTTGTTGGTTTTCTATTGTATTAAATAAGTATTGTTGATTGTATAACGGTAATTGTTAAAGCCAGAACAGTTTCGTTGATAAATATCAGACATCCCTACGGATAGCCTTTAAACAGTAGACAATAGAAAAGCAAAGATCATGTGTGCTATGGCAATATATCTGATTTTAGCTGTATGTCTAGCGAGGTCGTCAGCATCCGCTGCGGTGGACCACTTCGAAGTACACCAAGGAACCCACATACTTCAAGTAAGTAGACAATTTAGGACTACATTCATACTAATTGTAAGAATATCCCCAATCGTAACAACATCGACACATATGTACAACAACAAAAAAAATCATTTTAAATAGAAAGTACAAACACATTCCACACAGATCATACACAGCGCATAGTAGTCGGAAGTCCTGAAAAGTTGATCAAAACTAATTTTCTAAACTTCAAACCAAAAAGTAAAAACTTTTGGATTTTAAAGAAGACTAGTAATCGATAGAAAAGTATCGAAACTCGCGATGAATAAAGAACTTTTTACCAAGGAACTACTTTTCTCTATCCAAAGTTAGAAAAATATGTTAGAAAAATAGCCTAAAGTGGTTAGTAAGGGACTGATTAAGAAACTGACTAATATTCAAAGCATGGAAATTGACCAGTCGGCTGTGGCGTTCTCTTTTCAAAGCGCGCACTTGCGTGTGTCGTGAGAATCATACCACGACAGGTATAGTCGTCAAACACAGAGTAATATCAGATCACAAAGACGGCTATATATTAGATCGTCCCAAAAATTCATGCCACTTGTACTTCTACTACTCAAATTAATGTGTAAAACATACTCTTAAATAACCAATGGTAACTAAATTTTACGCATAACGAGTATACCCGTCAATCACAGCTGACTGGTTAGGAGGAGAAACATTTCCAACCCTACAGTTACACGAAACTATTGTACTAACAAATATGAACTATTGGATATAAACGGACCAACAAATGCCCGTCGAAGCCTGTCGAATTGTCCTCCTATTACAAATATCCCTCGCTTCTCATCCAAAATGCTCCCTCCGGACATAGAAACAAATTAAAACCAACGAGATTTTGTTCAGCTTTCACGATCGCCGAGCACAGCGCGACTCGGTCCCGTTTTAAACGAGTACAGTTGATCCGAAGAACGATTGCTCCAATATTTTCCGTTTCAGTCGCTGGATGGGTTCGCGATGGCGGTCGCCGCTGATGGACGGTTCCTGTACATATCCGAGACCGTCTCAATTTACCTTGGACTCTCACAGGTGAGTGGTGCAACCGTCTCCCCTCGGTCGGGGGGGGCGTCGTTGCGAGCGTGACTCGTTCGCGGGGATGTTGATGGAAGGTCGGGCTGGTCGCGAGGGGGTGGGAGCGCAACCGGGAGGCAGAAATAGGTGTGCTGCGGGGCCGGAGAGGGTGAAATGAAGCGGAAGACGTATAAGACACAGGCGTGCAACGCGAGGCTGGCACGTATGCGAGCCGGAAGGGCAAAGATAGCGGGCGAGAGGGAACACCACGACCGTGGAAAAAGGAGAACCGCGAGAGCGAAGAAGGGCGGAGGCGGCGAAGGTGGCCTCCGTCGGGCGTCGCGGGACGAAGGAGAAGGGAAGAAAAGGGAATAGTAGGGAAAGGAGAAGGGAAAAAAGAAGCGTGGCTGAGAATAGAGGCGGATAAGGACGGGAGAGGTCAAGGGAGGAAAAGAGGAGAAGGTTGTATGAGTTGGCGGCCATACTGGCTGGCACCAAGCATGACATAGACGAGGGAAGGATGGGTGGTTGGGGGCGGGGGTGGTCGCATGCGGCTCACGTAGCCTCTGCACGGCGGCGTGTTCGCCATTCCTAATGCTGCCCGTGAAGGTAGATGGAGAAAAGAGAGAGAGCGCAAGAGGGGAGCCGAGGGAAACAGAGGGGAACAGAGAGAAGAGAGAGAGAGAGAGAGCAAGAGGGAGAGGGAGCGAGAAACGCGATTGCGGGAGGAACAGGAGGTGTACGGGAGGTGACCGGTGTACCAGCTCGGTTCTGCGAGACTCGTGGAGCAATCAATAGGGTGTTTCGGGGATTCGGGAAACCGGCGCCGACGTTGCCACAAACATGGCTGCCGGCAGCTCCTGCGTTCCAGAGGTGTTTCGTATCAGACTCTCGACCTCGCGTTGCGCTAAAGTTGATAGAGCTCTGCTGGAGATGCCGAAAACCATTGTCCCGCACAACGGTTCCTATCCTTAGATTCTCGCGATGTTCGAAAAGCGGGACCACCCATTGCCAATGCGCGCAGCACAGGCACAGAATCCTTCGTCAGAAGCCGAACACAACCAGATGGATATCGAATCGAGATATCGCATAAAAATTACCGTTAGAATTTTCAACGCGGTTGGAAACACTTTTGTAGTTACTGGGGACTGTTGTTGGCAACGGGGGGTGTTTCTTCGAAAAAATTAAGAAATTATGAAGGCAAACATAATTTTATCAATACCTGAGGCATTACTTCACACTTGAGGAGTGGATGACTAATTGTGCATACGTCTATACTCTGAAGGCAAGCGTTGAAGATTCAGAATTAGTATCGTTACCTAACTCACCGAACTAGTATTAAATTCTTAATCGCCCTTTAAGATATTCACTCTCGAAAATGTTGATCTAATCTGCGTCTGAAATGCAGATACCAGCCTTTTCTATAAAAGGACTGTCTTCGAGCAAAAGTCTCGTGCAAGGGAAGTCAAGAGCCTAAATGAACCCTTTCTGGATGCTGGTGTCGGAAACGTTTCCGATATGGAAATCGAGACGCCCTGCGTCGACAGAGGTGGAGTCTACTCCTTCAGAGGAGGTCCTTCCGGCCTGTTGTCCGCATCCCCGCGATCGGGAACCATTTTGCGCCCTGTTAGCGATCTCTAATTGCTCGGTTTTTAATGCCTTGTAGCTTAGGCGACGGTGGTTTTATTATTCCGCGGGCAAGTTCGATTGAAATTAAAGTTTCAGCACCGGTGAGATTGACTTTCGTCGGGATTAAGAGTTTCGCTCGCCTTGGAAGAAACCGTGGCGTTCCGGGCTGGTAATCTACTTCACGGGATTTACATACTTTGTCTTTGAGGATATCGAGAGACTCTGAGATTAAAAGAAATCAGATCGGTATATCAAAATGGAAGTTAAGAGTGCCAAAGAGATTTGGTGTAGTCATCTGAGTCTGTATAGCTTTGTTGTTAGCAACAATGGGACATTTCCTATGATAAATTCTACAAGTGTTTGAAAAGCGTTGGAGAAAATATTATTGAAAGGAAGTAGTAGTCTTAACCGTTTGGCGCACACGATTGTAAAAGAAAAATAAACTTCAAGCTGCACAGAAGAATAGTGTCGACAACTTGCTAACCCGTTTCCGCTCATTGTACTTTTAGCGTTAATTCATAGTATTATCACGTGAATGAAAATCTTTAAATAATATAGTAAAGCTAAACAAAGGGTTGGATACTTTTTAACCCGCCTAACTTCAAAGAGCTAATATGATAATAGTGTAAAGTAGAGACTTTGCTGAAGAGTATCCATGTCTGACCATAGACGTAACGAAACTAATTCTCTTATACACAATGGTCAATAAGCATCATACTTACAGTTAATTATCGATCGTATTGAAAATAGATTAAATTTCCATGCAAAGTTTGGTTAGAATTAGAAAAAGGATTTGGTCTTGTGATTTAAAAAAAGAAATAGTTTGTATTATTCTCCGAATTCTGTTGATATCAAAATGATGATTTATCCAAATAATATCCGAAAATTTCCCTAACCGAACAGTCATTCCCTATTAGTCCAAACAATGGAGATTCTACAGTACATTTGAGGATGATTGTTTAGGAAAAATCAATCGTAAGAAACGCCTATTGTTCCCAACGAACAAAAGAATACGCTGCAGTCGCATTGAAGCAGTTCGTCGAAGAAACTATCGTAGCCAGACTCGCAGAAGTTTTCCCTCCAATTAAGTCACCACGAGGAAACTATTCTCGAAGATAGGTTTTCCTTTAATTTAAGTCACCTAACATCACTCGCCACGGGAACTGCGACGTATAAAAACACGTTTTTCCTCGAATTAAATCGCCATGCTGAATCTGCTCAAGCGTGCAGCAGTTGAACTCTCCTTTAACACTCGTGGTTCTCTTAACCCTTCTAGCAATGTGTGATTATAATCACGTACTCTCTAATTAGCGTACATATAGAGAATGTGCAATATGTATTGTTAAAATATTGTTCGTTATTTATCACCAAACTAGATAAAAACCGTAGGGTTTAATTCAACGTCTAACGTTGCTAATTATTCAAATTTCGTCATAAATCTTTGTAGCAGAATATTTTAAACTACTAAAATCAAACAATGAAATAATTAAACACAAAAGTGAGTCGTCCTTCTGGTGAACAGAAAAGGACACGATGAAAATAAATTGATCGTTAAAAGAATTAGTTGTATCAACCTAGATAAAGGTTTTAGAGAAATAGAGAACGTGAAAATGGCATCCAACGTTACCGATAAGTACCGAAGCAAGAAATAGAAGGTTGCGTCTGGTTGGATTTCAGGTAGAAATGACGGGATCAAGCGTTTTCGATTACGTTCATCAGCAAGACCACGCGGAGGTCGCCGAACAGCTAGGCCTCGGATTGACCTCGAGTAATTCTTCCGGTCCGCACTCGTCGAGCTCAGGATTAGCGTCGCCAAGTAGCGCAGCGTCCGAAGAACATGGCTCGTCTTCCACAGCGAATCCCGACGGTAAGCTTCAGCGCGTCGTTCACGTCTCATCCAAAGATGACCAAGTTTCTTATCTAAACAGAAATTTCAAATAAGGAATTTAATACACGCAACTGCTTATCCTTTTAGTCGTTCCATTCAAATTTATAAACATTTTCCTGTCACATCATTTTATATTGTATATCTTTGACATCTCAATCAAACGTTTTGTAATCGTAGTTGGATACGAAAAATCCATACAGTTTTAACCAGTTGAACGTCGATGCAGTGCAAAAATATATATTCTTTCGAGTTAAATTGTTAATTTACATCGAATACTGAATATTTAAACCGATGATATTATTGTTAATGCCACCACAGTGTCCTCGGTAATGGCGTTATCATCGACTGGCCTTTACAAAGGATACGATCGAGCGTTCTGCGTCAGGATGAAATCCTCGTTGACGAAAAGGGGTTGCCATTTTAAGTCTTCTGGTTATAGGGTGAGTGACTTATATTCCTTCATAGATGAAACAATTTTAGATAAATAGACTTCAAATTGTAAAGACCGCACTATCGATAAAGCTTTGATACCACCTTAATTAGAATTTCATATATTTTCAGTTTCGTAATTCGTAACTCTTAACGTTTATACTAATCGATTACGTTTAACGAACGGGAGTTTTTGGTGTTAATTAACTGTTATTGATTCAGGTCGTACTGTTACTGTGCCGTTTGAGACCGCAGTATACGTTTAGCCATACAAGAAAGTCTGCGCCACCTTTGATGGGTATGGTCGGTTTGGCGATCGCACTTCCTCCGCCAAGTGTGCACGAAATTCGTCTCGAAACCGACATGTTCGTCACCCGAATTAACTTCGACTTTCGGATAGCACATTGCGAACCAAAGTAAGTCGAAGCATCGTTCTTTCTTCCTATTAAAATCGTCAATGTATTTCCACATATTTATATCGTGTAATCTTATATGTTGTCCATTGATGTCTTATATGAAATTATTTCATGAATTATTGCATATTTCAGCAGATGAACTTTTGCCTTAACGTAAACGTAAACAAATATGACTAATGAAATGAGTGAATATTTCAATTTTAACGAATACTTCTTCAATTATGTATTTCTAACAATTTAGTAGACCTAACATTCTCCTTCGTGTTAACCTTACAGAGTATCCGAATTATTAGACTATACAGCCGACGAATTAACGGGGAAGAATCTTTATACGTTGTGCCATGGAGAGGATGCAAACCGTCTTCGAAAGTCTCACATTGACTGTAAGTATTTTCATTAATATATAAATTTAATAATGTCTTTTTGAAAGTCACCCTTTTGATACCGATTTATTTTGATTGATTCAAACACCGCGACGTATTGTTTTGTTTCAGTGATTCACAAGGGTCAAGTGTTGACACATTATTATAGGCTGATGAACAAAAGCGGAGGATACACGTGGTTGCAAACTTGCGCGACCGTGGTGTGCAACACTAAAAACGCCGAAGAACAAAATATCATTTGTGTCAATTACGTCATAAGGTAAATTCCAAAGTGCATAAAAAAAAAAATACACAGTACGTGCAGTATCAACGTGTATATTATACAGAATACTACCGTTTTTATTTAATTACAAACGAGTATATATATCATCGTTAAATGAAGTCACTACCATGATATCTTTATAGACGTTTATGCAATATTTTAAATTAAATTGTAATATATTATTTACATGCTTGCAGTGGTCGGGAATATGAGAACTTAATAATGGACTGCTGCCAACTGGAAGACGGTGTAATGGGTGTCAAGCGTGAGGACGCCGCTGGAAATGATCCAGAAAATGGATCACCGGATGCCGACAGAGGAGGTACTGTGTCATGGAACACTCGACATTTATATAAAACGTTGCATACATTTATAAACTTCGGACAATTAAACATCGTCCATTTCGTTTACTGCGTGTTATGAATGTTCGCTCACATGCAAGTGAGAACAGTTGTGACTAGGGACGTGTCTACCACGAAACTAATAAAACTGCAACTCTAGAACTCCACAAAAGGATTTTGTTAATTTTTCAATCTAGCTATTGTTCAGAGATAGAGAATGTAATTAGTTGAAACTTTGAAGAGTTCGTATAAAGAATATATGTAAGAAAGGTCCCTAAAAATAATCAACTTCAGACCCCAATAAATCTAAATCCGTCACTGGTTGCATCTGAGAACTGCAAGGATTCGAGAGAGATCTAAAAGTTCATCCGAGACTAGAAAACGTAAACGATTCGTTAGGTCGACGCGCAATGTACCGCGTGTCGGGAGAGCTAGTAGAATTGCCCGGCTAATTTTCCCTTAAAAATCGGAAATTCGACCGAAATGAATTCCCACCGAAAATCTCAAACGTTATCTGCTAAATTCAGATTGTTCTACGCCGCGTTTCAGAAGGTAGAAGCCGCGGTGGACCGCCTAATCAGCATCAGGAACATTCGCACAGGTCTCCCCCCGAGGACCGCGAGGACGCCCGAGGCTCCGAGAGCGAGAAACGGAGCAACAGACACCACGACAACATGGCGCAGTTGCAGCAAGAGCCCCAGACAGCCGTGGGGAACATCAGCACCCTCGTGGTGAAGCTACGCGGTCACAAACGGAAAATCCAAGAAGAAGACAGCAGCTCGAACGAGGAGGAGGAGGACGAGGAAGACGCGACGTCGGCGAAGGTCGGGAACAGCGAGAGGAATCACGCTCTCAGCCCGGCCCCGTCGAATCATTCCATTTCAGGGACTGATCAGGCTCTCTGTTCGACCAGTCCCAAGTCCAGACGGGTGGAGGACAGAACGACCAAGGCGGACACGACGGGTACGTCCGTGAAAGATCTGGAGCAGGCGATGTCGAAGCATCTGCCGGTGACGAACCTGAACAAGTCGCATTCCCCGACGCTGCATCAACCTACCGACTTCAGCACGGACGCGTTGCTGAAGCAGCAGCAACAGAGGAGCACGATACAGTGGATCGGTGCCCATCACCACCTGGGCCATCTGAGTCCTCAACAATCAGCCACCGCGCCCTTACCAGCATCAGCCCTCCTGAGGCAGTTGTACGCCAACAGGGAGAGCGTGATACGCGCGAACGTCCACGGGATCACTTCCAGCGGTACCACTCGCACCTCGTCTTCGGGTGGCACCTATTACACCGGGGACACCACGCCCAGCGGACCTCTACCCACGCCACCTGGCTCGGAGGGTTCCAGCACCTACGGGGAGCACCAGTTCGTGTTGGTCACGCACAACCAGAAAGGCTCAACGGGGACCAGTTGCGCGGACGCTTTCACGAGTCTGGTTTCGTCGTACACCACCGCCGGCGGTTACACGGTGGACTATCACTCGGCTATGACGCCGCCGTCGTCCGTCTCGCCGCGGGACAAGCAACAACAGCAGCAGCAGCAACAGCAACAGCTGCACCCGGTGAACGTGATAAGTAACTACGAGGGCTCGACGGCCTACGCCGATCCCGTGCTACGCCATCAGTACGAGCCGGCGCAACCGTTACCTTTGAAACCACAAGTGTATTCAGCCGCCGTTCATCCGAGCGCGTTGGACGCCGCGGCGGCGTACGCGTCGGCGGGACTGACGGAGCAAACGCAGTTCTATCATCATCCGGCGGCTGGTGCCGGCTTTCACATCTACCATCCGACTAACAAGTCGACGACGAACGGCTGGTACAGTTCGACGTCCTAGTGGCGTGATCCCGTGCGCGAGACACGTGTACTTAAGTAACTGAAATCGAGCCCAAAGTCTCCTACTCCCAACCCCCCCACCCCTCCCCCCTTACATGCATATCAGTGATATCGTATTCACCTCGACGTCTCTGTGCCGATCCCTGTGTCCCCTTTCTTCCTGTCTACGCGGTTCTCTCTTTTTCTTTGCGTTCCTCTATTTTTTTTTTTATTTTTTTTTTATTTTACGCCTCAGGAGGAAGCGACCTTGACGCGAGCTCCTTGGTCCTCGTGTGAATTTGGTGGGATATTGTCTACTAACGGTCGTTCAGTTTTCTAATTGCCATGGCGATGGTTTTAATGAGATGTCTTGAAGCATGTTGAAGGGGGCGGATTTGTATTTTGGAGCAGACGACAACGATTCATTGTTCTTAAGTTTCAGGATCTCGTTCTAGTGTAGGGTAAAACCATGCTTCTGCGTCAAAATTTAATTAACGCATTGCGTATGATGAACATTTTCGACGGAGTTCCTAGGTTATCCTGTGGGATTCTTAGTAAAATGTTCCTCATTAAGATAATAATTCCCTTAATGGCAAGAAGTAGCAGCAAGTATTTAGCTTGGACCAATAAACATTCATCCAAAGATTCATTGAAATCAGAACCTACCAGTTCATGGTATGTCCATGTTAGTTGCGCGGAACGAAGGCTGACTAAAATGTCTGGCCCTATACTGACCCTATACCACTGTTACTTCCAAGACTGATCCTTCTTTCTGCTTAGGCTATAGTTAGTAGACAATCGTAGTTTGAAGAATTAATTCAGGTTGAACAGGTCTATTCAGTCCTTCACGAAAAGAGAAATATTGAAAACAAGTGGAAACTTGATTTGAAATCAATGAAAACCATCTATCAATTTCCTCTAATCGTTTAAAATCAAATTATGTCATATTCACATTTGCTGCGATGCTTAATGTATTACATGGTCTTTATGAATTTTTGTAAACATACGCAATGTATAAATTAATGATGGGTTGAAAATATGCGGTAACCGTTCCCCTGTAATCGCCCCGTAACACGCTTCAGGATCATTAAAATCAACGAGGTCGTTAGCACGGTAAATAATTACCATTGTTCTCAAACATTTATGCGTAATTAATTGGAATTTAAGTGATTTTCAATACGACACACAGGGAAGTTTGATGTCTTGTACAGCTATTAATTATATATACATAATTTAACGAAGGTGGCAATACTATTTCTGTACAGTTACTTACACTATTTTCATTTAATAGTATTTAATATAAAGAATTTTCTTACAAGAGTCACTAGGATTTTGTTTTTTAGCAACTGTCGAGAAACAAAATTCTACGACCCCTTCTGGGAAAATCTTTATACATATGACAATGCTTTTTACTTTGTATACCTTTAAGCTATATAGACGAAAATATCTTTCAACAGTTTGATCATTTATTCAAAAAAGCGTATTCTGGTATATATTAGTTCCTGTCGCAATAATAATTGTAATTAGTAATTAGATGCGGATGTAAATAAACAAAGGTATTGTAAATAACCGTACACGAGTAATATGGCAACGTTCAAATCGGTATCGTTAATTGAAAATTATAAAATACATCTGAATATTATAATCAATCCTTAAGTAGACACCTGAGGTTATTATAGACCTTCCACTATAGCGTATTATGTGCTACTCACTAATGTAGATTAACTACATTTTAATCAATTCGAAAAGAGTTAATTTCTCCATTTACTGAACAAAGGATAAGAAAGAGTCAAACAGAAAATAAATATAACTCCTCATGCAGAGATCAAATTTCCCTCGGGATAATGACCCTAAATTCCAATCAACTTGAGAAGACTAACACTTAATCAATTTTGTGTAAACTTGATCATTAACAGGTAATATTCGAAACACAGTTCATACCGTCGAAACCCTTATATTCCAAGCTCCGTTTCGTCAAAAAAAAAAAAAAAAAATGCTAACAAATGTCGCGACCTCCTGTTTACCCAGGCGTTCATTTTCCCCCTAACCCTGCTACCCCTTCGTCACCGTTTCTTTTCTCTTCTTCATTTCGTCTTCGTCTAAACCAGCGATCGTACGCGCGCATCCGATATGCCAACCGAACTGTAAAAAAAAAGAAAAAAAAAAAAATTAATATGAAAAACGCTGCTCTCTATCTCGACTATGTAGAACGACTTATTGTAATATAACAAAATAAATTATTATGTATGTTGACATTTCGGAGATGTTCGCGTGAGCGTGGTGATAATGGTGTTCACCGAAGACCGCCGTGCGTGTTCGAATGGAATGATAAGGATGGAATTGTACGTTCGTTGTGACGCTCAAAAGGGATGACGGTGAAACGATGATGGCTATTGTAGTTAGTTGCGGCCGCGTGGCAATGAACCATGGCCACACGGTGTGGAAGTAACGAACAAAAGACATTTTAATCAGCGTTGTTCGCTGAGTCAGCGTGGTTGTTTAGCGATAATTACTCGAGAAGCCGTACTTGTCGTAATTTTTTATACTGTAACATTTTGTTGCGTAAAAGACGGAATGACTTTAGTGAAGTCGACAGTGCAATCGTTACGAGTTTTAGCGTTAATTTAAGAGGATCGAAATAGAAATTTAAACAAAAAAAAAAAGAAGTTTACCTTGCTTATACGAGAGAGAGAGAGAGAGAGAGGAGGATAAGAGAGGCGTTGTTTCTGTACGTGAGAGTATGTAACATTATCGAAGGGAATCGCTATCTCTATTAATTTGTGGCGGCGTTGTTTCGTGATTGTTAACTTATTTGCCGGCTTATCGTTTCTCTTTATTTGATCGTTACTCGCGCGTTGAGATTTCTGTTTTCGGTATCGTTTAATCGTCAATGTTTATACATATCATGTATTTTCGTCCGGCAAGAATGATATCACTGCCTTACGAAAGAATCTAATCAGCGATTTATTCGCTTAGACTTTTTATTCGCGGCATGCGTCCATTTCTGTGCGTAACTGCTTTCAGTTGAGAAATGTTCGACGAATGCAGACACAATTTTCAAAGAGAAAGTTAAAAACAATATATATAAATATATATATATATATATATATATATATATATATATATATATATATATATATATATA